CACATGTCTTACTAACTTTACTACAAAATTTCAATTGTTGACTTTTATTATTTCCTGAGAAAATACAGTGTTTCTCAGAAACTGTCACTTAGAAGCAGCCACCATAACACTTAATTCTAATCGATGCTCAATCAATGTTTGTTTGATTAATTTAATCCTTACCTAGTGGGGGTTTATTACACTGAGTGTTCACACAAGCCAGTTTGCTCGAGATGGTTCTAGTTTTTGCCTGTTGCACTGGACTAATTAATAATGTCCTTGTTTGCTCTCCAAAGTATCACAGTCATTTGATTATCTTATTTATAAAGCAATCAACATAATACACAGCTAGAGTATGTACAATCTCACATTTCATTTTATGCACAAGTACTCATCTTTATAGTGACTGGTTTTAATTTGGGAACTGAACTTAATTTTTTTTTAATTGTCTTCGCTTTTGTATTTGATAGATGGGATACATCACAGAAATACATTATTGGAAACAGGACATGTAATACTCTATTGTATATTAGAATACATATTTCTACATTCTTTTCAAATATACTCGTAGAAGGCAAAATTTAAGGATTTTAGTGATGTCCACATCCAAGATGATGATAAGGTAGAAATAAAATTTGCCCTATTAAAATAATCACATACTAACTTGAGTGAATATGTTCCTTCTTCATTCACAATTCTTCAAACTATTTGTTGTAGTGTTTAAGCAAAACATAAATGATGATATATTTTAAATAAATGTTAAACGCTCCTTAATGAAGTCTATATAACACCTGGATTTTTGAATTGCAGTAGTATATTTTTTACTGGATTATAAGCACTGATGAGTTTGATTTTAACTGTGTCTACTACAGAAATAAATGCTTATAGTCCCTTGGAAAGATATGGTATATTATTCCTTTAACCCATAAGAAAAATTTCACTTTCATGTTATAGAGTAAAGGCCCAGAGACAGTCAATAAAATTCTGAAAAAAAGGAGTTCAAAAATAAAAATACTTTACCAGATATCAAAACATAAATCTATAGCAATTAATCCAGTTTGTATCAGTACGTAGAAGCACAAAGAGATCAATGTAAATTAATAAACATCCCAACTTCCTCCAAAAAACAAAAACAGACAAATTCTCACATATTACTTTGCTATATTAAATTAGAGGCATTACACAGCAGTCTGGAAACAACAAACTATGTAGTAAATGGCACTTAGTTAACTTGTTGTCCACAGAGAAAACATACAAATGTATCCCAAGTGGGTGTGTTATATAACTAGATTCCTCCTTCACAACATACACCACACAAGGGGCAAAGAATACAAATTAACAAAAAAGTCAATAATAAGGAATCTGAATAGCCAGTAAACCTACGAAAAGTTTTCTAAACTTCAACATTCATTGTGGATATCCACACTAAATATACAACTATTTTGTAGGAAACATGTAAAAATAGACCAGATTCAACAACAATCAGAGCATTTGGGAAAGAGAATACGAAGGCCTTTAGTGTTTTCTTTGTAATATAAGTTTAGTTTGAAGCAAATAAACAAAATAAATTTTATCAATTACATGAAAACATTATTGTATTATTGCAAATAGTATATGCTAATGGGACAGGAACTGGGTAATGTCAAATGAGAAGTGACATAAAAAAACTACTAAGAGATACAATTAATGGAAAATCTAAAGAGTAACTTTTCTCAGTGAGTGAGTCATCTAATTTAGTCTGAATTCCATCTGTCGGTTCCATTCTTAACTAAAAGTATAAAACCTAAATAAAAGTACAGTCCCAAGAAGTATATACCATACTAAACAGTATATTTAATAGGTATTAGAAAAATCTCATATAAAGTTTAATGAGAAAAATAAAAACTCTACTTAGATACTAATTTCATAATCTAGTGGATTCCTAAAAATTCAGAATTGAGGCAGTAAGTTTAAGTACCAATTTTCTGGCCCTCATTCATTTTAACATTTAGTCAAACTTTAGAAGCTTGAAGTTTTAATTTAAATTTTTCTAGATTGCCTCCAGAACTCTTTAACATCACTACAAGGGAACTGATTTGACATGCAGCTAATTTTCTACTTAAAATCATTATTCTATACTATAGGCAATGAGTAGAAAGATGCATTCTCATTTCCTTCTCTTTTTCCAACAATTCATTAATTAAATTTGAGAGGCAATAAGCGTCTAGTTGGTCTGTTAAACGTAATAAACATATGATTCCTTAAAAATACAATTAAATATTCAAATGCTTTTCAAAATAAAATTTTCAAGGGTTATATATTTGCAGAGAAATTTTAAAACCCTCATGAGATTGATAAAATCCACACCAAACTATTATTTCCAAGTTATCTTATTGAAGCAATATTATTACAAGACTACAATATTATTACCAAGAAAAACTGCCTTCTAGAGAGTCAGAATCACCCCTGTAGCCCGCTCCCTGCACTGACATACAGAAATGTCTGAGGCCACAATCATCATACTGTAGATGTGGGAATAGCGATGACAACACAGGACAAAAAAAATTTTTTAAAGCAGCTGGTCTCCTGCCTCTAATGCAGGCTATCCTTTGTGACTCATTCCTTTTCCACTACAGTCCCTCCAAATCACATGCTTATGTTCAAATGGAGAAGTAAAAGCTATGGACTTAACCAATAATGGCAGACTACCGAGTTGATATTTTAAAAATCACATATAAGGTACAGGAAAAACAATTTTGAAAAATATCATACTATTTTTGTCTGATTTCCTAACCTTTGCTTAATTTGGTTGAAAAATAGATCTGTATTTCTTTAAAGGTCAAAAATCAATCGTTTTATCAAACAAAACAAAGTTATTTGTATCATGTTGCACTTTGACTTAGATATTCATGTCAATAGGTTAGGAGTTTGGAAGTATAATATTTTGCACTTTACACTTTTTTCCCACTGGTATTCACTTAATATGTTACTCATGTGTTGCTTACATTCATAACAACTTTGACAACTGGGTAAATTTAAGTAAACCATACTTTGATTTGGGGTATACAGGACTCTGTAAAACAACCTGCTATAACAGGCCAACCTAAAAAATAAATGGAAAGTTTTAACAGGTAGTTCCCACAGGGATATTTTGATTTATAATTTGATATTGAAACCACAGTTATACAAAGTACAATAGGAATGGAATAGAAAGACACATTTCTATTCTAAACTCCTTGATTTACTAAAAACATATTCATTGCAGTCCTAAATCTTTGCATTAGGATGATACTTACAGAAAGCCCTAAGTGTGGCCAATCTCAAATTTTAGTGAGTTTCTAATGAATTCTGTACAACAGTGAGGGTACATTTGAAACTCTGTCTTAAACAGATTGTGCTTCAGGAAAGGGTAGTATAACCTCATTAAAACCAAGTGACAAAGTGAGAATTCCTACAGGGATAGTGTCTCCCTGTCTTGGTTGGTCTCTCTCCGCGCTCTCATGTCCAGATCACTGACAAACTAACAATGTCATTTTAGCTCATTTTAGTTTAAAATGTAGTGTTAGTTCATATACATACTCTGTGACCTTTCACTTACTGCATCCTGTGTAAGCTTGCCCTGGGTCCCCAAAGAAAGATGGGGAGGAATTCGACTGAAACTTCTCCATTGACAAAGGATTTTCTCATGTTGTAAAGATCATCCTTGTACTGGTCAGGTAAGCCTAATGCAATTTTGAATTTGGTAAGAAAAGAAATTAAATCCAAGAATTTATTGCAACAACTTACAACCTCAAATTGTTTTTATTTTCTTATTCCCAGGAGCCCTTCCTTAGAATTAACCTGTCAGAAAGCAGGAAGCGGGCCGGCCCGGTGGCGCACTACGCTAGTGCGCCGCTTGGGAAGTGCGGAGGCGCTCCCGCCGAGGGTTCGGATCCCACATACAGACCGGTTCCCGCTCACTGGCTGAGCGAGGCGCGGGGGCAACACCGAGGGTTGCGATCCCGTTGCTGGTCCCGGTCCGGTACGGGGGTGACACTGAGGGTTGTGATCCGTTGCCGGACACGGAAAAAGACAAAAAAAAAAGAAAAAAGAAAGCAGGAAGGGAATAACCCTGATTCATTACTAAAAGCAAAGTGAGACTTAAGCTAGAGGAATACTGTGGGAAGGGTCCTAAAAGGAGAGAATACATTGCATTTAAGTTGACAAAACCAGGTAGGTAAGTCATTAACTAAAAACCTAGTGTTGACAGGCATTTAGCTCACCTTTCTAGCCAAATAGTCTCCAAAGATTATAAAATCTTACTGTAACCACCATATAAGATGATCATTTAAACAATACATGGGAATTGACCTACTAGTTGATTCCAAATAAGAGACCTCAAAGAGCACAAGGACGTCCCAGAGAGTCAGGGTCATTTACATAGAATTCATAAAAGAAAAGGCCAGGACCAAAAAATATGGGATGCAAAGTAAAAAAAAATACTTTCATTTTATTTCATAAATTTTTATCCAAATAACAGACCTGCTTCCAATCCGTAAGTTCACAAAATCCAGTAATTTTCCTAATGTTGTTACAGAATACTTTTCAGATTCAGGGTTTTTGAAAATTATCTAATCTTTGTTACTCACAGAATTTTACAAAATACTGCTGATATACTACTATTTTGAGCTGTAAAGATTAAAGGGAGTTTCAGGGAAAAGAATCGGTTAAGAAAGCCTTTTCATAATAGGATTTCCTTGCCTCACTTCAATGTAAAGTTAATGAATAAGCTATATTTTCAGAACATCTAGTTTATATACTTTTAGTTAAAGTGTTTTAATAACCTACTGGGATTACAACAAATTTGACATATGGTTTTATAAACTTTCATCTTTGTAGCCAACCTTTTGAATAAAAATATTGTTCGTTGCACAAAAACGCTTACACTTTGGCTGTTTATCAAACTAAAAAGTTGGGTATCAATAGAACATCAAGGATTAAAGTTATTTTCAATCTTTGTGCTTGGTGGTGGAGGAGGGAAACAATGTGAATATCTTACATACCTCAGTAGCAAACTGCTGCAATCCACCAATATTAATTGGTCCCTCTTCCGTGGCATATAAATTGCATCCACCTACACAAAGGTCAGAAGTTGGACACACCATTCCGCAAGTCAGACCAAGTGGATTGTCAGAAAATATCATCTTAGCTGCTCCATAATAGTTCTGCAAAAATAAAATAAAATAAAAATTTACTATGCAAAAATGTACCTTAAACATCCAAATTATGATAAACGTATTGCATCTTCTATTAGGTAATTGGGTTGAAGATCAAGATGTATACCAGATGCATAGTTACAATACTATTTACCATTGGCAACCACAAACTAACAACTAGCAAAGCACCTGACACACAGGAATATCCAATACATGGTAGATTGATAAATGAACAATCGATTTTAGAAAACTGAAATTTAAAATATAAATTTTGTGTGAATATTTTTCATTCGCAAGGTGTCTAATTATATATATCTTTCCATAAAGTATTCTTTTTGTTTTTAACAAAGGTAAGTTAGGTAGCATTGTTTGAACAAGCTTTTAAAACCTAAATCTTAAAACAGCAACAAAAAATGTTATACTTGGGTTATCCTCCATTTAACTAAATTAAAAGCAGCCATACCTCTGTCTCCCTTCATTTCACCTGGCTTGTCCAAGGATAATATGCTTTATGACACTCTCTGTTGGTTAACATCCTTCAATAATGTGCCATTAACGAAAGAGGCAGATGAAGCACATTTTACAGACACTCCTGGATGGGATCTCAACATGTTCATCTTTCATCACTCCTGTCCTCATATTTCAATATCATAGAATAGCTTAGAATCCCACTCATTCTGCCAACAATTTTTGGAACCTAATTTGTTCATAAATTGGACAACCATATTATTATTTACTAAATAAGGAATGAACAATAAGCTGAATATTTGAGAGCATTTTTTTCTCTAATCAAAGGTAAGAACTGGACCTGACCAGTACTCCTGAAAACTGTCAAGTGCACGAAAAACAAGGAAAAGTTTGAGAAACTGTAACAGCCATGAGGATCCTAAGGAGACATGACAACTAAATGTAATGTGGTGGCTTGGATAGGCATCCCTGTCTTGTTCCAGGTCTTAGAAGAAAAGCTCCCAATTTCGGTCCATTCAGAATGACATTAGCTGTAGGTTTGTCATATATGGATTTTATTGTACTGAGGTATATTCCCTCTATACCTACTTTGTTGAGTGTTTTTATCATGAAGGGATGTTGGATTTTATCACATACTTTTTATGCATCTATTGAAATGATCTTTTTTTTCCTTCATTCTGTTGATGTGATGCGTCGTGTTTATTGACTTGTATATGTCAGACCATCCTTACACTCCAAGATGAATCCTACTCGGTGAGTGACCTTTTCAACATTTGCTGGATTCTGTTTGCTACTATTTTGTTGAGGATCATTGCATCTGTGTTCATTAGGGATACTGGTCTGTAGTTTTCTCTTTTATTTATTGTGTCTTTTTCCAGTTTAGGTATGAGGATAATGTTGGCTTTGTAAAGTTAGTTTGAAAGTATTCTCTCCTCTTCCATTTTTTGGAAGAGTTCAAGAAGAATTGTCATTAGTTCTTTAAATGTTTGGTAGAATTAGGCAGTAAATCCATCTGGTCCTGTGGTTTTTTTGCTGTTGTTGGGAGAATTTTCATTACTGCTTCAATCTCATTACTCATTATTGGTTGCATAGGTTTTCTAGTTCTTCATGATTCAACCTTGGTAAGTTGTACATGTTCAGGAATTTATACATTTCTTCTCCGTTCTCCTGTTTGTTCACATATATTTGTTCATAGTAGCCTCTTATGATCCTTTGTATTTCCAGTGTCAGTTGTAACGTCTCATTTTTTGTTTTTTTATTTCATTTATTTGAGTCTTCTCTCTTATTTTTTATCTTCATTAGTCTAGCTAAAGGTTTAGCTGTTTTGTTTATCTTTTCAAAAAACCAATTATTTGTTTCATCAATCTTTTTTATTGTTTTCTTAATATCTAATTCATTTTTGTCTGCACTGATCTTTGTTATTTCCCTCCTTTTACCAATTCGGGGTTTGGTTTGTTCTTGTTTTTCTAGTTTTTTTTTTAGGTGTAATGTTAGTTTTTTGTGTTTTTTTTTTTAAGTCTATCTTCTTTTTTGATGTAGACATTTATTGCTACTCTCTTAGAACTGCTTTCACTGTATCCCAGAGGTTCTAGTATTTTGTGTTTTCATTTTTATTTGTCTCCCTCCAGGAATTTTTAAATTTTGTTTTTGATTTCTTCTTTGACCCATTCATTGTTTACAGCATGTTGTTTAATTTCCATGTATTTGTACTGTTTCTAGTGTTCCTTTTGTTGTTGGTTTCTAGTTTTATTCCATTACAGTTGATAAGATAATTAATATGATTTAATTTTTTAAAATTTGTTCAGACGTGTTTTCTGACCTAACATATAGTCTATTCTAGAGAGTGTTCCATGTGCTGCTGAGAAGAATATGTGTTTTGCAGCTGTTGGATGAAATGTTCTGTAAATGTCCGTTAGGTCCAATTGGTCTAAAGTAGAGATCAATTCTGACATTTCCTGGTTAATTTTCTGTATGGATAATCTGTCCTTTGCTGAAAGTAGGGTGTTAAATCTCCAACTATTACTGGATTGGGAGTCTATTTCTCCCTTTAGTTCTAACAGTAATTGCTTTATATAACAGGGTTCTCCAGTTAGGTGTGTGTGTGTGTGTGTGTATGTATGTATGTATGTATGTGTGTGTGTGTGTGTGTATATATATAAAATTGTTATATCCTCTTGTTGAATTAATCCTTTTATCATTATATAATGACCTTTCTTATCTTTTTTTCTAACTTTCCTTGGCTTGAAGTCTATTTTATCTGAGTATAGCTACTCCTTCTCTTCTTTGGTTTCCACAAAATAATATTTAATTAAATATTTAGGCACTCCATGACCCAGTTAAATTGTCACATAAAAGTAACAATTATACACACTTTCACAACTTTGTTCAACATAGTACTGGAGGTTTTAGCTACATAACTAGGAAAAGAAAAAGGAAAACAAAAAGGTATCTAGATTGGAAAGAAAGACACAAAACTGTTTTTATTTGTAGATGAAGTAATCTGGTATCTAGAAGATCCTAAGGAATCCACTGAAACACTATCAGCAGTAATAAGTACAGCAAACTAGCAGAATACAAGATCCACATACAAAAACTAATTGTATTTCTATACATTAGCAATGAACAAACCAAAAATGAAATTGAGAAAATAATTCCATTTATACTAGCATCAAAAGAAATAAATTATCTAGAACTATATTTAATAAAAAACTGTAAAAAGTGTAAAACTTATACTCTGAAAACTAGAAAACACTGTTGAAAGACACTAAAGAAGACCTAAATAAATGGAAAGACATTCCATGATCATGGACTGGAAGACTTATTATTAGGAAGGTGATACTCCCCAAATTGGTCTAAAGCTTCAATTCAATACCTATTAAAATCCCAGCTGACTCCCTTGCAAAAACTGGAAAGCCACTCCTAAAATTCCAATGAAAATCCAAGGACCCGAAATACCTAGAACAACCGTGAAAAATAAGAACGAAGTTGGAAGATTCAAACTTCCTGATATCAAAACTTACTACAAAGCTAAGTAATCAAGATAGTGTGGTACTGACATGAGGATAAGAATACAGATCAATGTAACAGAATTAAGAATCCAGATAAAAGCTTTCACATTTACATTGAATTGATTTTTGAAAAGAGTTCCAAGACAATTCAATGGGGAAAGAATATTCACATCAATAAATAATGTTGGAATAACTGGATATTGACATGCAAAAGAATGAAGTTTGACTCCTAATGAAAAAGAAAATAAATTGGATTTCATAGGAATGAAAAACTTTTGTGCTTCAAAGGACACCATCAAGAAGGGAAAAGACAACCCACTCAACAGGAGAAAATATTTGCAAGTCATATATATGATAAGGTATTTGAATTTGGAATATCTGAAGAACACTTACAACTCATTAATAAAAAGACAAATAAGCCAATTAAAAAATGGGCAAAGGATCAGAATAAACATTTCTCCAAAGAAGATATCCAAATGGCCAAAAAGCACAAGAAAAGATGTTCATGATAATTAGCCATCAGAGAAACACAAATAAAAACCACAATGAGATGCCACTTCTCACCCACTTTGATGGCTATAATCAAAAAGACAAACGAGAGAAAGTTTTGGCAGTGATATGGAGAAACTGGAACCTTACACATTGCTAATGATATGGCAAATGGTGTAGCTACTCTGAAAATCAGTTCATAATATAGAGTTACCAATTCCATTCTTTGGTATACACACAAGAGAACTGAAAACATATGTTCACGCAAAACCTTGTACACTAATGGTCATAGCAGCATTATTCATAATAGCTACAATGTGGAAACACCCCAACTGCCCATCAACTGACGAACAGCTAAATAATATGTAGTATATCCATACAATTAGATATATTTTGGAAATAAAAAGTAATGAAGTAACAACACTAGCTAAAACATGGGTGAACCTTGAAAAGATTATGCTAAGTTAAAGAAGTTATTCACAGCAGATCACACATTATATGACTCCATTTATATGAAATGTCCATAATAGGCAGAACTATAGAGACAGAGAGCATATTAGTGGTTTCCTAGGGCTGGCATCTGAGTGGAAATGAAGAATGACTGCTAATACAAGGCGTATTCAAAAAGTTGATAGAAAGATTCATATTAGGGCCAACCCTGTGGCGCACTCGGTAGAGTGCGGCGCTGGTAGCGCAGTGGCGCTCCCACCACGGGTTCGGATCCTATATAGGGAGGGCCGGTGTGCTCACTGGCTGAGCGCGGTGCAGACGACACCAAGCCAAGGGTTGCGATCCCCTTACCGGTCACAAAACAGACCAAAAAAAAAAAAAAAAGAAAAAGAAAAAAAGAAAGATTCATATTATCTTTAAATTGCATTTTCCATGGACTTTTTGAAGTACTCTTGTATGTGTAGGGTTTCTTATAGAGATGATGAAAATGTTCTCAAAATGATTATGATGGTTGCAAATATAGTCGACATCACTGAATTGCCAAATTCATTTACATGAGCAAATGTATGGGATGTGAATATCTCAATGAAGTTG